CGTGAAATGGTTGTTCGACCCCAAATGGGGTCCCGACCCACAGGTTGAGAACCACTGATTTAGAGCCAATATTTTAAGGTATAATCATCTAGCCAAAGCGCAGCCATATATAACCTTGCTAAAGTGATGATAAAGTGGTTTGAAGCAAGCATTAGTTACATTGTATAGATAGGCAAAGGGAATGGAGATGAAACAGGCTCCTGTTGTGAGCCGAGTTGGTTGAATGTCAAGAACATGAATTTATAATTGTATAGCTTCAGTGTCTAATAATTTTACTAGATGGCCAGAAAGCACGTGACTAGACTGGACCTATCAACTGGGTCTGGAAGAGAAAGATGTGGCGTATTCTCTGGGACAGATATAAAGGTTTATGCTGAACTTATTTGGGTGTGGTCTCTGGAATGGTATTTGCCGAGATCCACCAGCCTTTGCAAACGCTTCAATAAAACTTTTTTGTTTTCCAACACCTTTGAAGTGGGATTTATTTTGTTCCTAACAGCATTCTGCAGCATTCTAACCACTGCACCACCACACCTCTTAACAAATAAGTCTTAAGAAAACTCATGATGATGCAATATCCTGACAAGTACTTGAAATTTACTGGAAGTATACTCTAATTCTTGGGTGATACCAAATCCTGAGTTAGACAGAATTAGATCATCACTTAGATCAGGGCTTTTCAACCAGTGGTATGGGTACCACCTGTGGTACATTGGCACCTGGCAGGTGGTATGCGACCATCCTAGAAAATTGGTAGCAGGGGAGGGGAATGAGCTGAACCAGTGGCAGCACTGCACAAGCCTGAGTGAGAGACGGCTGGAGCTGCAGGGCTGTCAGGGCTCAGTGGAAGCGCCAGGATCAGCACTTCTTCGTGGCTGTCAGGGCTCAGTGGAAGTGCCAGGATCAGTGCCAGGCTCCAGCTGGTGCTCAGCGCTGATCCTGGTGCTTCTACTGAGCCCAGAAAAAGTGCCAATCAGCTGGAATGTTGCAGCATCTCCAGGGTCTTGTGATTTACATTCAGATGCTTGGCAACTGATTCATATTTATGATGGTCACAATGTCCCAGGGTCATGTGGAATGACCAAAATCTGCTGCAACCACCCAGCAGATGGGGGAGGGAATAAAAACCAAATACCCCCCCACCCCCCCTACCAATCCTCAACAGAAATGCTCACAACAATGAAAACCTCGGACAGGAGGAAGAGCACCGCCGGATGGGCAGGCAGGTGCCTTGCTTGGCTGTGCCTTGGGGTGCACTTTTTTCAGTGTCATTGTAACTTCGAACAGTCACTAAGTGAACTGTTGTAAGTCGAGGACTACCTGTACTTCATCACTTTTTTCCTTTTTTTTTTTCCGATCATCACGTTTTTGACACCTTGCTAGGCGACTGATAGTACTCGGATATTGCCATATCCTAAAAGTGGTACAATGGGTGAAAAGATTGAAAAGCCCTGACTTAGATCTTCAAGGGTGGGCAAGAAATCTCAAAGCTATAGGATCGCCCTCTGTGGTAGTACAGAAGGCAATGCAGCTTTAGGGGACTATTTAGAGGGCATCCAGCTGAAGTAGTGATTACAGTACAGTTTTTAGCTAACGTGATGACCATTAGAGTGGAAGGCCAATTGTTTTTGTTCTGCATGAAGAGCCCTTCACAGGAAGCGTATCAAGTGCTCAGTTTAAGAACATTCTAAGAGCGGCACAGTTATTTCTACTAATGGTCAAACATTTAATATTATTATAATAGCCTGAGCCGTGTGTTTTGCTCTCTTCCCTGGCCAAAAGGAAGAGATTCTTAAAGAGCATTTAACGCTTATGAAGTCTGAGGAAGTTCCATAAACTATTTTCCTTCTTGGATTATATCTTAATATTTAATTGTCAAAATGGTCTCAACCACTTATTGGCAATGATGATTGCTAAATCTCCAGGAATTGCTAGAAGGAGATTGGCCAGGCTCATTTTTGGATTGCTGACAAGAGTGAGAGGACTTCTGGTTTACTGGAAACAGATTTTAAATGTGAGCTCCTAAATTCTTTCCTAGTGGGAGAATATTGCTCCTCCCATAAACAGACATACCTGCACTCAAGGAGAAACATGTTTATTCTCTCAAATACTTCCTGGTGTCATTTTCTTTTCCAAAACTAGCAAGGTACTTGCTTGTTAAAATCAATAAAGCATGCAACATTTAGATCCACTAGCAGATCTGGCATTTCGAGTATCTTCGTTTTTCTGCTTCTACGGTTCATGATTCAGATTGCTTTTAGAAACACATTTAGGACAACTTGTTAGGAAGGGGGGATCAATAAGACTTAAAAGCATTTCGCTTTTTCTATGTTGCTTCCACTTAAAAGGTAGGAAACCACGCCCTCTGTCAACACACCACATCCCTCCTCCATGGAACCAGTTATTAGGCCCACTTTGGTCACATTCTTTCCAGCCCCCTAACCTATTGTTAACTGACAACAAGTTTTTTGCCTGACAAGTTTCCCGCCTTTTTAGAACCTAAGGCTATGTGATTTTTAAGTAAGTTCTCATTAAATAATTTTTATCAAAAATTATATTCCCTTCACTACCCTGTGACTTATCTTGTGGGACTTCTGATATGACAAGAGTAGAGTTAGTGGTAGCCATTCAAAGAATAGAGAAGAGTAGACTCTGAGACTATCATAAAACCTTAAAAGTGTAAGACCTAATTATCTGAGGAGCTGCTTATCGGGATATGAATCAGTTCAGATATGTTTAGCAGAGGCTTTTAAAGGTATACCTGACTTGCAGGTATATGTCAGGAACCTCATATGTTCTATATACATTTAGATAGTGTCAGGTTAACAAAGATTGGCTTCAGTATGGGCAGAGATGCTTTCTAAATTAGGCAAAAAAAGTACCAGCTGTTAAACTGAGAAATATCAAAGTAATTAATAATCAGAAAGTACCAACATGCTTTAAAAATATATATTATTTAAACAATGAAAAAGTATGGCAAGTCATACCACTACCAGTAAGGCAGGGATTCTCAAACTTTTAGATTGATAGATTGATTTTTCTCATCACTGTGATACAACAAATTCAAGATTCTGCTCTAAAATAGATATAAATTTATCCTTCGAGAAATGCAGTTTGGCAATTAAGACTGACAGAAAATGTATTTCATATAAGAATTCCCTTTGTGATGGATGGCATTTTTCAATAATATGTTAGAAAATTTGATCTTGGTTATTTTACTCACAGAAATGAGTACATGAGGAGAAATAGCTGAATATCCCTCTTGAAGGACAATGATAAAAGCATGAATGCACACAGATAATTTTTCCTTATTTAATTTCCCCTGCTTCTTAATATTGCTGATAATAGCACACAATGAGGTTATTAAAAACAATTTTAAAAGCCTTGCTAGTTAAGAAGCATCAGCTGCAATCTTAAACTAATTGGCCAGACTCTCCCCAAGAACTGGGTTGATGTAATGCACATTTATGCCAAGATATAAATAGGCATAAGTACATACAGTATAAAATTTGGGATAAATTTTCATTCATAAATGCACACTAGTTTCTATTAAAAATGAACAATAGAAATTAAAATTTCATTAGAGCTTACGTCCCAGTATTTTCAATAAAATTAGTGCTAAAATACTTTTCCCTACTCTGCTCAGACAAGCTGGCTATCTAGAAAAGTCCTGTAAAAGCTCTGATTCTATTCAAGCATGTGATAAATGGTCCAATAAAGAGATCCTTTAAGCTTTCCATCTTGCCCAGAGAACCAGAAAAAAAATATATATAAGGTTTTGGCTGACCTGTTGTATGTTCAGCAGATTCTTACAAATCACTGCAAGCTGATTAAATTTAGCATCCCTGGAAAAAGAATCCCAGTGAACTAGACAAGCATGCATAATTTGGGGAGAACGTTTCACTTGTGGCTAGGCACATCAAGTTTGATTAAAAAGAAATCAATAGAAGTTAAATTCTTCCTTAGGTATTTCAGTCTCTTTATTTTCAGTTTAATTAGAGTCTTCTTCCTCTTCTTTGTCTTCCTCTTTTTTCCCTTTCTGGCAAGTCCTTGCAGTTTTCTTGGCAAGATTTTGGAAGTGGTCTGCTTTCTTCTTAGGGCTGAAAGAGTGACTGGCTCAAGGCCACTCAGTTGGCTTTCTGCCTAAGGCAGGACTAGAACTGGGTGTCAATGCTGCTAACTTTGGATGTTCTTGCTTGACAATATATGCAGATATTTTCTATTTAACCTGTGTATTACTTTTAGAGTTAAAAGTAGATGGTGCTGGAAGGGAGGAGGAAGAATGTGCTTGGGGACTAGTTAGCCATAACAATATCTCAGTAGAGTATTCTTCAAGGTTGGTTGTAATAAGAGGAGATAAGTAATGGCTGGTTATGGAATGGGAGGGAAAGTTTGCACTTCAAACTAATTGGAGAATGTGATTAATGACTGTTAAATGAAGGAGTGAGTTATGCTTAGATACTGTGTGTTTGGGGGAGGAGAATTCAGATTTTGGCTTCTCTGTGTACCTGAAGCTATGTTGCAATTAAAGATTCTTTAAGGTAAACAATGCCTCAAAGTTCTTTGAAGAGCTTTCGGAACCATGACATCTGGTTTCTAGCCTTATGCCTTAAATAATTATTACATCAAACTGGCTCTCTGGAGCTAAAATATAAGCTCACTTCCCCCCCCCCCCTTTGCCTGGACCAACTGGCTAGGCTGTCTTTGTGTAAAGAATGGAGCACAATCCTACTAAGCTCTGACTTTGCCTGTGTGTGTGTGTGTGTGTGTGTGTGTGTGCGCGCGCGCACGCGCACAAAGCCCTATTGTTGTCACTAGTCCTGGAAGCATCATTCTTTCTGCATCCTACTTTTGTTCACATTAATGCTCTGAATTTTAAAATTATTGTTGATCAGTTGTACTGTCACTTCTGATTCTTCAGAATTATTACCTTTTAATAGTATTTTGAAGACAGAAATGTAAGCCAGGCATAATTTTGATACTGGTGTTGAAGGGGACTGAACTTTGTTTTCCACATTCAAGGTTTTTTTTTTTAATCTATGTCTATAGAAATTACATAAAATATGTGAAGTCCTTTCTTTGCCATGTTCCAAAATATTCTGTGTGTATCAGAATATGTATGTCTAAGTTTAAAAGTATATTATTCTGTGCTCTTCTCATTTTGTTTCCTCAGCATGGTTGGGCCTGGTATATGGGACAGAATATAAATTGGATTAGGAGAAGCTTTTCTCGGTTTTATGTTATCACCATGGGTTGATTGATGCTTCTGACTGGCTGAAATGCGATACTGTCAATAATAATGTCAACATTGGCATCAGATGACAAGATTATCAGGAACTCTGGAATAACTATTGTTACTGCCTTCTTTTCTGCTATTATTGCTGTGCTTTTGTTATTGCTGTGTAAAAACAGAGATGAAAACTTTATTGCAGTCATTAACCAGCATAGTGGAAAAATATAGAATATCATCAAAATGTAAACTTCAGGTTACTGATCTGTAGAAACTTGCATCTGTTTTTTAGATGGTGCTCGATAGGAATTTGCTTTCCCAGCAATGGACACCTTTCCATTTAATTTTTTTCACCCAGATTCGCATTTTTTTTCTAGTTCATAGGGCCAGTAAATACCTCTTGCCTAATCTTTAGTTAGGAAAGAATCAGAATAAATTAAAACAATATAGTACAACGACAATTCTGATATTGTTTGAGAAATACTAAGATACAGAATAAGAGAGTTAGAAGGGGCCTTGGAGGTTTTCTAGTTCAAACCCGGAGAAATGGCTGTCCAATCTCTTCTTTAAAATCTCCAGTGATGGAGACCCACGACTTCTGGAGACAAGCTGTTCCACTGATAAATTATTCTCTATGTCAGGAAATTTCTCCTTAGTCCTAATTTGGATCTCTCCTTGATAAGTTTCTGTCCATTACTTCTTGTCCTGCCCTCAGGTATTTTGCAGAATAGGTTGACTCTCTTTTCTTTGTGACAGCCCCTCAAGTATTAGAAGACAACCTGGAACTAAGGAGAAACTTCCTGATAGTGAGGACAATCAATCAGTGGAACAGCTTACCCCCAGAAATCATGGGCTCTCTATCACTGGACTAGATAATCACCTGTCTGAGATGGTATAGGTTCTCCTGCTTGAGCAGGGGGCTGGACTAGAAGACTTCCAAGGTCCCTTCCAGCTCTATTCTATTCAAATGTCACTCTAGTCCAGTGGTTCTCAACCTTTCTAATGCCGTGACCCCATAATACAGTTCCCCATGTTGTCGTGACCCCCAACCACTTATACATCACCATGTGCCAGGGACTTGGCCAAAGAAAAGGGGGAAAAATGGCAGACAGCCTTGTTTGGCGACCCCCGTGAAATGGTCGTTCGACCCCAAATGGGGTCCCGACCCACAGGTTGAGAACCACTGCTCTAGTCCTTCTTTTCATTAGACTAGACATACTTAGTTCCTGCAACCATTTATCATGTTTTAGCCTCCAAATGCCTAATCATCTTTGTTGCTCTTCTCTGCACTCTTTCTAGAGTCTCAATATCTTTTTTTTGTATCACGGTGATCAAAATTGGATGCAGTATTCCAAGTATATACCAAAGCAGTATAAAGCAGTATAAATACTTCACCTTTGCACTTTCTCTCTGTTGATGCAGCTTAGGACTGCATTGCCTTATTTTGCAGCTACAGCACACTGCTGGCTCATATTTACATGGTTGTTCACTAGAATACCTAGATCCCTCTCACAGTTACTGCTGTTGAGCTAAATACCACCTATTCTATACTTGTGCATTTGGTTTTTTTTTTCTTGCTTAAGTGTAGGATCTTACTTTTCTCATCACTAAATTGCATTTTGATGGTTAGGGCCCAGTGTTCAAGTTTGTCAAGATCCTTCTAGAACAGTGGTTCTCAACCTGTGGGTCAGGACCCCATTTGGGGTCGAACGACCATTTCACAGGAGTCGCCAAACAACACAGTCCGCCATTTTTTCCCCTTTTCCTTAGCTGTGCTACTCCCTTTTATTCTATTGGCTTTTGAAAGCCAATAGAATAGACTCTCTTAAATAGAGTCTAATTCTATTGGCTTTCAAAAGCCAATAGGAATTGTCCAGGCTGTTTCTGCCCTGCTGAGCCCGCCAAAAGTCCCATTCTGCAAACGGTGCTGCACCAGTTGAGTAGTCCTCGACTTACGACCGGTTGGGGGTCGCGGCATTAAAAAGGTTGAGAACCACTGTTCTAGATCTTTAGCCTATCTTCTAAAGTGTTGGCTATTCCCCCTAGCTTGATGTCATCTGCAAATTTGATGATTTCCACTTTTGTTCCCTCATCTAAATTGTTTAAGAAGATGCTGGAGACAAAACCATGCTTCCCTACAATAGATTCAATCCCATTGAGGACTACATGTTGAGCACAGTTGGTCAACCAATTATGAATCCCTCTGATGGTGATACTATCTATCCCACATTTTTTTTAATCTTACCAAGAAGTAAATTGTTGTCTATTTTATCAAATGCCTTACTGAAGTCCAAGTATACCATGTCCATAACATTTCACTGGTCCACTAATTTAGTAACTTTGCAGTAGTGATTAAGAATGCAATAAGGTTTGTGTAGCAGAATTTCTTTTGGACAAACTGTATTGGCTTCCAGTAATAGCTTTGCCTATTTCTAGATGTTCACAGATTCACCACTTCAGGGGTCACCAATGCCCGATCCACAGCCCACTACCGGGCTGTGGCCGATTTGCAACCGGGCCGCACAAGTGCCAGCCTGCCACTTGTGTGGCCCAGTTCCTGTCCTTCCCCTCTACTGGACTGCCAAGCCGCAAAGGTTGGGGACCATTGCACTATGTCAATATCTTTTCCAGGATCTTCCCAGGTATTGATGTTAGGCTGATTAATCTGATCATTTTTTTTCTTTTGAAGATGGGAACCACATCAGCTCTTTTCCAATCCTCTGGCAATTCCCTGATGATTCAAGTTATTTGAAATATATAGTTGAACACAAGCTCCTTCAGAACTGCGGGATGTAATTCATCTGATCCTGGGAATATAAACTTGTTTAGAGCAGCAATCCCCAACCTTTGCAGCTTGGCTGCCTGACTTGGAGGGAGGAGACAAGGGAACCAGGCTGCATGAGCAGTGGCTTGGTGCACTGGTGTGTGCGCGTGCACCTCTCCACAACAGAGAAGAGAACCCTTTGGGATGCAGTTTCATGCTCTTTCAGGCTTCTTCATGCCAAAAGCAAAGGGATGAAAGGCCTGAAGCAGCGCGAGATGGTTCCCCTGAAGCCTTTTGTCCATTTGTAAAAGCTTTCAGCATGGGAAGAGAAGCCTTTGAGAGTGCAATCTTGTGCTCCTTTAGACTCACCAAGGCTGCCCATTGCTCCAAGAGCAGATTGGGTGTCCTGTGCAGGCAGCCTCAGTGAGTCAGCAAAGATGAGCAGGGAGCATTCATCCAACTCAGCCTCTTCTCTCACCGCTCCACTTTTGGAGCTTTGAGAGCAAGCGGCTTGACAGCCCGGCTGGGGGGAAGAGGGTAACTGGGCTGCATGAGCAGCGGGCTGGCGTCCATGTACACGGGCAGCTCCACTCACACAACAGAGAAGAGAAGCCTTTGGGGTGCCACTCAGATGAGCGGAGCTGCCCACGTGCACATGCACTCCAGCCTGCCTCTTGGATGGCCCCGTTCCAAATAGGCTATGGCTCAGTAGTCTGGAGTGAATAGGTGTTGCGAATGTAACTGAAGTAGAATAATTTGAGCCTGCCATTTGTGCCTCAAGTGATAACTGTGAGTTGATTTGTTTTCTGATCCATTGGTTTGTTTTTTTGGCTGTCCATGGCATTCTCAGCAGCCTTCTCCAACACCAATGCTCAAAGGTGTCAATACTCTTTCAAACCTGCTTCGTTGAAGTCCAACTTTCGCATCTATAGTGTCACAGGAAATACCATGGCTTTCACTATTCTGATCTTTTGTAGGTATAGAGTAGGGGGAGGACAATTAATTTTCATAAGAGACACATGAGAAACGAAGACTGTTGTGGAGGCCAAATCAATAGGACTGTGAAGGTGCGTAGTTATGCACATCACTCATACATACATTTAAAAAAAAAGATAGCTGTCACCTTCAAAATGAAAACAATGCAGTTATGACTCCTGTACCAAGTGCCAATCCATGATGTATTTCTTGACTGCTTGTTCTTTTACTATTGATGATTGATCCTAGAAAGCAGAAAATATCCACCATTTCAATATCTTCATTGTCAATTCTAAAGCTGGTTGATCATATTTAGGCATGTTAGGCATCCAGAGTCATGAATTTGAGATGTGGCCATAGAAAATGAATGAATGAATGAATGAAAATAGGTACAAAATATGAATGAGAAAATGTTAGGCAAGTAAAGCAGTTAAAAAATGGAAAATATTCCTTAGTTATTATATTATTTATTACTATTTGAATTTAAAATTAATATTCAGATAGTCAAACGTAAATCCAAATAATGGATCCCTTCAGTAATTCTTAAAATACTGAAACATCTAAACAGGTTAATTTTGCAAACCTGCAAAAGTTTCCAAGAACTTTTGAATTATTACACAAAGTGAATGCTAAATTTCAAAATGGTTTAAACTTATGTAACCCTTTTTCAGTGTTGGCTTTCTTAAATCCCTACTATGTTTTATTGGCATATTTTAGTATACTCAACTATTATTTACAGTAGGAATGTTCTCAGGAAGTTCTCAGTAGTCTGCATTGACCACAGCCTTACATAACTTTAACAAGTTGTTGCGGCATTGCATGATATTTGAGGTGATATCCTGGCTAATGCTGAAATTTGTACCAAAAAAAAATCAATTCACGACAACAAATAATAATTTGATATGCCACTACTGGCTTAAATTTTAGTGGTTTGAATTTAAGTTTTTAGTGGCAAATTGTTCAGATCATCTTTTCTCCAATTGAAAAGTGAAAATGAAAAAAATTATAACTTTTTTTTTAATACAGCATCTAACCTCCTTTGTCAAAGCTGGTGCCAAATGTTGGTACAAATACATCTACTTTCTTAATCAATTTTGTCAGACTTCTGTGATTCCAGAGTACTTAGTAAGAGCTAAATTCTATTTGGTACAGTAATCTTGGCATCAAGATTATGAGATTTCAACTGCCAAAATTACACCTGTAGGTTGTTTACATCCAATACTATTGCTAAATGTACCTTGGAGACTTGAGAGCTTTGCCTCATTTTATTTTCATAATCAAAGTTGCATCTGAATGTAACTTACGTTCTTGCTATTTGTCTGCTTGTCCATAATAAAAAAAGTTGTCATTTACATTCACATTCCCATGAGAAAGTTATTATAATTGCTTATTCCCTTGTTTAAAATTTTATCCTTTTTCTTCCTTCCTTTTCCTTCCTTCCTTCCATTTTTGGTCCACCATGTTTTCCTTCAATTATTACAGCAATCACATCTTTTTGACCAGCAACTTCTGCTCCACCATTTCTCTAGAATAGAAATACAGCTGCAGCTTGTATGTCCACATGTAATGCTGAAGTCTTAATGAAGACTCTAGAGCAGTGGTTCTCAACCTGTGGGTCAAGACCCCATTTGGGGTCGAACGACCATTTCACGGGGGTCGCCAAACAAGGCTGTCCGCCACTTTTTTCCCCCTTTTCTTTGGCCACGCCCCTGGCACCCAGTGATGTATAAGTGGTTGGGGGTCACCACAACATGGGGAACTGTATTATGGGGTCGCGGCATTAGAAAGGTTGAGAACCACTGCTCTAGAGCTGGGCTTTTCAACTGGTGGTACGTTGGCACCTGGCACGTGGTATGCGTATGACAGGTTGAACAGCACTGTAAAAAAAATGTAAAAGAAAAGTGTAAAAGTGGATGAGGTGATTCGGCAGCAGCACCACGCAGGCTTGTGGGAAAGTCAGCTGGAACTGCACGTTGCCTGGGACGTACTGAGAGCCCAGGATCAAAGTGCACAGCTCCAGCTGATTGGCGGCGGCCTTAGGGGTGGCAGTCAGCCTCACACAGTCTTCAGGTGGAGATTCAGTTGGAGCTGCGCAACACATTGCCTGTGTCCTGCTGAGAGCCCAGGATCGGCTCATGCAGTTCCAGCTGATTGGGGGTGGCAAGTGGCCTCACATAGTCTTCAGGCAGAGATTCAGCTGGAGCTGTGAGAGGCATTGCCTGGGTCCTGCTGAGGGGGAGAGTAGAGAGGATATTAAAGGGGGTGAGAGAAGAGAGGATATTAAAGGGGGTGAGGACTACCTGTACTTTGTCACTTTTTTCTGGGGGGTTTTTTTGGCCATCAAGTTTTTAACACCTTGCTAGGCGACTAGTGGTACTTGAATATTGCCATATTGTAAAAGTGGTACAATTGGTGCAAAGGTTGAAAAGCCCTGCTCTAGAGCCTCATAAAAGTCGCTACCATACAGTAATTTTTAGGAAAAATATGGCAGTATGTAAAAAATAACTACTAATGATAATAAAATTGCCTTCAGAGGATCCCTTAGTCAAAATTATGGTATATTCCTAACATAGTTCTTTATTTCATTCTTTACTTAGTAAATACTAACATCCTCAGTCTCCATCTTTCTAAGAGTTAGGATCCATACAAATAATATGGCACTTATGCACTGTGTGAATGTGTGAATATGTGTGAATCTAAAAATAAAAGTTTGCAGTTTTGATGGGAATGGTTAATTGAGTCTGTTCTACCTCATTTTAGAAGTAACTATTTCTTCACTGATAACATTCAATGAATAAATGTGATATGTGTGCAGCACACCTCTTGAAAAACATCCTTTGTTTCTGCATTCATCTCTATATGCATTAAAATATGATTTCACACCTGCATGACAATAGAATACAGTACACATTGTTAGAACCTGGTGATGGTTCCTACAATCAAAATAATTCTGATCCACATTTCCATATTAGTGTCAGCAGTTGAATAGTATATAGCAGTGTTTCTCAATCTTGGTGACTTTAAGAAGTGTGAACTCCCAAAATTTCCCTAAACAATCCTGGGAATTTTAAGTCCACACATTTTAATGTTGCCAACGCTGAGAAACATTGTTGTACAGTATCAGCATATCAGTATAATACCAATGATGAATCAGTTCTGAAAAAGCAAACATGTCCTTATACTTCTAAGAACAAATAGCCAATCATAGAATGTCAATCTCCAAGCCTTTATCCTGCAGTGGATAGAGAATGGCTAAAATAATGTGTACATGAGGGCATGACATAATGATGACATTATGGCATGATGATTACATTCCAATACATTGATGTTAAACCTAGTCTCTTTCTTCTATCAAATTTTAAAAATTTCCCCTTTCTTTAAAATTAATGGCAGCTAGGCATAAGTACTTCTCCACACTAATTGCATCTGCAGATAACTGACCATCAACCCTCTTTAAACCCTCTGCAGATAACCTCCAGCAACCCTGGGGAATGAGGATACAGGGGTCCATCTAAAGCGGCGCTGAGGAATTTGTTGATTTTCTAGAAGACAAAATTGTTCAGCTTCATTACCAATAGGATGCCGGCATGGTTGCTGGTCTGGTGAAGGCATCTGGAGCAGGTCCTTGCCTTGTTATCTGGGAACAGTTTAATCCTGCTGCTCCTGAGGAATTGGATGGGATCCTAAGGAGTATGCTCAGAAGCACCTGTGTTTTAGATCCATGCCCCTCCTGGCTTGTGAGAGCTTCCTGGGAGGTGACATGTGGGTGTGTTTTGGTGATGATTAATGCTTCCCTGAAGGTGGGGTAGTGCCCCAGCACTTTAAAGAGGCTCTGGTCCGCCCACTTCTTAAGAAGCCATTGCTGATTCCACCCGGTTGGTTAATTTTTGACCTGTCTCCAATATTTTCTTTGGGGGGAAGGTTGTTGAGAAGGTAGCTCCAGAGATTCTTTGATAAAATGAATTATCTAGACTCTGATCAGTCAGGATTCAGGTCTGGATATGGAAGAAAACAGCATTGGTCATGGTTTTTGATGATCTCTGGCAAGAGTGGGATGCATCTATCCTTGTTCTACTTGACCTCTCGCAGGCCTTCAATACCATCAACTATATCCTTCTGGAGCGAGTTTTGTTTAACATCTACTACATGAAGCTGCTGGGTAAGATCATCTGCCATCATGGATTGAGATATCATCAATATGCTGATAATACTCATCTATGTATCTCAGCTCATGGTGAGTTAAGTGATACCATGACCTCCCTCTCGCAGTGCATGGAAGCTGCTAAGGGCTGGTTGGGGAGCAATGGGCTGAAACTGAACCCTGGAAAGATTGAGTGGCTTTGGGTTTGGGGTTCTTTGGTCTACGGAGAATTGCCATCTTTGGTCTTGGAGGGAGCGGCATTGCCCCAAACAGACCCAGTCCATAATCTGGGCGTTCTCCTGTATTCACAATTCCTACTCGAGCCTTTGTACAGCTGCTGGTTATGCACCAGTTGCGTCCTTTCCTGAACCAACCAGCTGGCCCAGCCCAAGGGAGGTAAGGCACCTGCCGGGCCCCACATGCGCCAACAACCCTCCCTGTGCCCGCTGGCCTCCCACCTCCCACCCCTGGCCCTCTTTTACTTACATTTTTAGTAGTTGCTTAGCAGGGAGGGGTGGAAGCTTCCAGACAGCTCGCCTTCGCTGCAGACAACTTGCAGCACCGTTTGCAGAATGGGACTTTTGGCGGGCTCAGCAGGGCAGAGACAGCCTGGACAATTCCTATTGGCTTTTGAAAGCCAATAGAATTAGACTCTATTCAAGAGAGTCTATTCTATTGGCTTTCAAAAGCCAATAGAATAAAAGGGAATAGCACAGCTAAGGAAAAGAGGGAAAAAAATGTGTTTGGCGACCCCCGTGAAATGGTTGTTCGACCCCAAATGGGCCCCGACCCACAAGTTGAGAACCACTGATCTAAAAAATGCATTGGTCTGACTCAGAATAAGTCCCAAGCAAAAATTAGGTCATTGTTCAAATGAAGCAACAACACTAAAGAGTAAGTCCTGACATGCTTAGTAGTGGTGCAATATGTACCAAGTTACTGGCACTAATAACTGCACAAACCATAGCATTTTGCACCATGTGCATCTCATGAATACTCTCCAAGGGAAGACCCAACTAAAATGAATTGCAGTAGTCCAATCTGCAGGCCACAAGGGCATGAATAATCATGATATAAAAGATATAGCAT